TCCGCTGTGTCAGTTCAGTCACTCAGTCGTGTCTAACTCTTTGTGATCCCATGGACTGCAGCAACGCCAGGCCTCCCTGTCCATCACCAACGCCTGGAGATTGCTCTGTCTCGTGTCCGTCAAGTCAGTGATGCCATCCAGTCATCTCATTCTCTGTCATCCCCTTCTCCTCCTGCCTTCAGTCTTTCCCAGCATTAGGGTCTTTTCCATTAAGTCAGTTCTTCGCATCAGGTAGCCAAAGTATTGCAGTTTCAGCTTCAACATCAGTCCTACCAATGAATAATCAGGACTGATTTCCTTTAGGGTGGACTGGTTGGATCTCCTTGCAGTCTAAGAGACTCTCAAGAGTCTTCTCCAACACCACAGTTCAAAAGCATCAGTTCTTCAGCACTCAGCTTTCTTTATAGTCCAACTCTTACATCCATACATGACTACTGGAAACACCATAGCTTTGACTAGACTGGACCTCTGTTGGCAAAGTAATGTCTCTGCTTCTTAATATGCTGTCCAGGTTGGTCATAGCTTTTCTTCCAAGAAGCAAGTGTCTTTTAATTTCATGGTTGCAGTCACCATCTGCAGTGATTTTGGAGCCCAAAAAATAAAGTCTGTCACTGTTTCCGTTGTTTCCCCTTCTATTTGCCATGAAGTGATGGGACCGGATGTCATGATCTTCTTTTTTGAATGTTGAGTTTTAAGCCAGCTTTTTCATTCTCTTTCACTTTCATCAAGAGGTCCTTTAGTTCCTCTTTACTTTCTGCCCTAAGAGTGGTATTATCTGCATATCTGAGATTATTGATATTTCTCCCAGAAATCTTGATTCCAGCTTGTGGTGCATCCAGCCTGGCATTTCTCATGATGTACTCTTTGAAGGAGTCTTTTGGGCCTAGAAAAGAAAACAACAGTCTCAAAGGCCCTTGCTGAATCATCTAACTTCAGAGAAAACAAAACAGAACTTTAGTTCCGCCCTGATGCTCCATGCCGGTTGCGTCTGTCTGGGACTTATCACCCCCTGTCCAGAAACCTTCCACCCCCAAAACCTGCCCAGAAGACTCATCACCCACTGCCCAACTACAAATGTCATCTCAACTAAAGAATACTCAAAATATCCCACCTGATTAACATTTCCCTTATCGCTTCCACAAACCTCCCTATAAATACGAAGCCTCCCTGATCCCTCTCGGTGCTCAGCCTGGTCGTTAGGCCGACTGTCGCCCCTCCTTGCCTGAATAAAGGTAACCTACTTCTGTTGAGGTCATCTTTCCTTTTCTGCCTTGGCCCAAATTATACCTTACACTCTGCATAAAAGTTAAATAAGCAGGGTGACAGTATACAGCCTTGACATAGCCCTTTCTCGATTTGGAACCACTGTATTGTTCCATGTCCAGTTCTAACTGTTGCTTGACCTGCATACAAATTTCTCAGGAGGCAGATCAGGTGGTCTGATATTCCCATTTTTTGAAGAATTTTCCACAGTTTGTTCTGATCTGCACAGTCAAAGGCTTTGTCATAGTCAATGAAGCAGAAGTAGATGTTTTTTTGGAACCCTCTTGCTTTCTCGATGATCCTACAGATGTTGGCAATTTGATCTCTGGTTCCTCTGCCTTTTCTAAATCCAGCTTAAACATCTGAAAGTTCACGGTTCACATACTGTTGAAGCCTGGCTTGGAAAATTTTGAGCATTACTTTGCTAGCATGTGAGATGAGTGCAATTCTATGGTAGTTTGAGCATTCTTTGGCAGTGCCCTTCTTTGGGACTGAAATGAAAAGTGACCTTTTCCAGTCCTGTGGCCACTGCTGCAGTTTCCCAATTTGGTGGCATATTGAGTGCAGCACTTTAACAGCATCATCTTTTAGGATTTGAAATAGCTCAACTAGAATTCCGTCACCTCCACTAGCTTTGTTGTAGTGATGCGTCCTAAGGCCTGCTTGACTTCGAATTCCAGGATGTCTGGCTTCAGGTGAGTGATCACACCACCATGATTATCTGGGTCATTAGGATCTTTTTTATGT